GGAGGGGACAGCTTCAGGGGGTCACACACTGCCGGGGTTTCACTTACTTAAGTGTTTTGTTTGTTCGTTTTCATAAAATGCAGTAGTGTAATAAATCTACTATCTGACACGTGATTTATTGCTTCTATTGTACATTGACATAGCTTTTGCTGTGATGGACTCCTTAAGGCTGTCCAGCCAAAAAAAAAAAAAAAAAGGAGAAAGGATTGCCAAAGAGGGTGTTTATGGGAAACAAATGAAATAAAGCAGGAAATGAGAAAAAAAATATATATGTTTTACGGTACAGCAATATCACATAAAGTAAGGAGTCCCTTGGGAGCCAGAAACAGGTTTATATGCCTCTAAATCATAAATATCTTTAGAAAATCTTTTCGTTTGGGGGCTGGTTCCCCTTTCTCACCCCACAGCTTCCAGTGACTCCTCGTTGGCAGCGTGGAGCCGGCCCCAGTGCAGCTGTACCTCTGTCATCTGCCCTTGACCAACACATGCTCCCCCATCTGCACAGGTACGATTTTAAGTCATCATTGCCCAGTCTGACCCCTCAATAGATGGAAAGAGAGCAATTTTACCGGTCACAGCTGGTAAAAATTTATTTTGTTGTGATCTAAATCAGATGATCAGACTACCACATCTTAATGCTGTTCTGACTGGTATTTTATAATCACAGTTCCAATTATGTTTGCTCACGCAGTATAGGTGAAACTTCAAATTATATAGAAGCAAATGTCAATGCAAGTTGTTTCCTAACATTTTACAGAAAATGTATACATCACATGGTACCTTGTAAATATTTTCTTTATGAACTGTCTGTATTTTGCCAACTAGTGAAGAAACTGAGCCTTAAAGTCACCAAGGAACTTAATTTGCTACTTCAGCTATCTACATTTATTTCCCTCAAACGCTTCCCAAAATTACCCTCAAATATTGACCTAATCTATTTTAAGAGTTTTACGAATAATGAGCCTGCTGGGTTTCACGGACATTGCTGTCATCGACATGGTTTTCCACTGTCTCAAGTTTATAATTTACTATATATTACATTCCATGCTTTCAGTTAGCCTGGTAGTTAAAGAACCACTAGCGTGGACACATCATTGTTCTTCTCTCTGGCTCCGTCTCCAAACTCCAGAGCTCCTGGAAGCTGGGGTCAGTTGGCTGCAATCATTTTTTTCCCCAATCTACTACCTGTGTAGAGTTTTTTTCTTGTTTTTGGCCCCTGTTCCTTCTGCCTTAAGTCTGCTGGTTTTGTAGCATCTGTAAGGCTGTTATCTTTCCTTCCAGTAACCTATCCTCACATAAATTGAATTATAATCATGCATATTTTGAGGTAAACCTCTTTGAGGATTCCTCTATATTCTTACTCTTCCATGTGGGGGCCTCAAAATGTGCACACAAACAAGATACTGCACCTAGTTCTGAAAGATGCTACAGTAAAGGGAGAAAACTTCAGCATGTTTAGAAAATTAAAGCTGTTATCTTCTGATCTGGGAGCACCAAGTTCGATTTCTTGCTCTGTTACACAGTTTTTGTGGTAGTTTCCATGTAACAAATTACTTAATGCCTTTGTACCTCAATTCCCCATCTCTAAAATGTGATAAGAGGAATTCACCTCAGAGAAGTGCTATGAAGATAAAAGTATTTGGCACTGGAATGCTGGCGCTGGAATAGGGGCTGTAGGAACTGTTCAGTGGAGACGCTAGTGAGTCTCTCTGTCTTGGTCTCCTGTAAGGAGGTGAGTGGAAAAGGAATCACGGAGTGCCCCGGTCCCGGTCCTGTGACATGGACGAGCAGTGGGCAGAAATCTCTAGTGCATCTTGGGAGCGCAGAAATTAATGTAGCTCTATCAACTGTAGGTCAACATTTATATAGCCTTCTCTCTCAAACTAAAATAAATTTTAAAAGACATAGTCACATACTCTTAAAAAACATCCTGGTGTATGCTTTAGAACATACTTAAAAAGCACATATTTGATGATGTATAGAGATTGCAGCAGAGATTTTCTAAAGCACCTTCCTGTGTTGCAAAGACTGACATCCGTCCTTAGCTGTAATAGTTGGAAATGATACCACTGAAATGAGTAAGTGTACCCACCAAGCTGGAAGTTAAGCACCTATGCAAAGCATTTTAGTGTAATACAAAACCCAGAAGTCTTCGGGACATTAGATCTGAATTTCGATAAGGAATTTTTAAGATTAGAGACTGCTGCTTTTCAAAACATGAATAAAGGAAGAAATTTTCTATAATGAATTAGTCTGCCTACGAAGGGCTTATGTTAAATTTTATAGCTGGATTATAAACCTTGGAAACACAGTGTCTATAACAGAAATGTTTATACACCCCTAACTACAGGCAGGCAACTGGGCTCTAATACAGTGCACAGATAAAGACTAAAAGAACAGAAAATCCTTAACATTTTAAATGTAAATGATACATAATTTTGGGGTGCTCAAAATTCCCTATTATAGTAGAACTGCACATATGAATGTTGAATTCTATGCATTGTCATTACTTTCAGTCTTTCAATCCCTTCATTTATGCCGAAAAATTGCAAATCCTTTATGCATGGAGCACTGGAAACGAATAAATATTTTTGAAGGGGTTTCTTAGAAGTGAAAAGGCCCTGGTCTTATTTGAATCAGCCTGTGCTGTGATCATAACCTGTGTCAATTACGAAGTCTTAGAGACGGAGAGCTTGTTTAAAGCAAACTTTTTTTTTTTTTTGACATTTTAAGAAAACAGAAACTTCACACAATATTCTTTTAAAATATATGAGAGGGCAACTTTCTAAATTAAAATATATTATTCACACTTAAACATAGTAGATACTGCTAGGTTCAGGACTAATTGCTGTTAAAATCTGGAAAACAGCCAATTCAAGCCTACAGAATGGATGGAATAGTTTGCCAGTATCTATGCACATTACTCACACACGCATGTGCCCCCAAGCAAAAACATTCACATCAATATTAGTTTCCTTGTCCGTCTTTCCCAATCCAAATATAATTGCCAATGTTGTAATATAATTGCTTCTTCCAAGCTTTTGGATTTCATTAGCTACTTTCAAAGAAAATGGGAACTTGCAAGTTCATTTGTTGTTAAAAGACAGGACATGGATAATTCTAGTAACTTACCTTTAAATGGAAGCTATGACTTTCATGGAACTTTATTATTCCAAGAAGTAAGACTCTGACACAGATTCAAATATTAAAAGATGCCTACAATGATCAAATGACCTGGCAACTGTGTGAGGTACTCACGAAAGCTGCCTGCAACCTAAGGGAGATTAATCTCCCTAGTGCTGCTCCCTCTGTAGCAAACAGGATATTGTCTCTTCCGAGCGCACCACCAAACTGGCTTCACAGCCTGACCTGGACTTGCCAGGAATCTTTCCATGAACTGCAGAAAGATTAACTTAGGTAGCTGAAACTTAACCTCGGTGAATATATTGGCTTCATCAGTACCCCAGGAAAGAGCAAGTTACTCTGGGAGGAGAGGACCCAGGCGCAATGCAGAGCGAGCTGCAGGCTCGTGTGAGACAGCCAGCACTGAGGAGCACAGGTTTGGACTCCAAGGATAAACCTTCCACATTATAACATCCAACAACTAATGTTCAATTTTAACTATGCACTGTTACTTTAGTGGAGATTTCTCCTTTCTTAGTTAAGCACAATTTCAAAAGGACAGTAGTTTAAAACTAATTTAAAACTACAAATGGCCATGTACCCCAATAAATTTGGGTAGGAAGGAGTATAAGAGAAGGAATAAGAGTAGCATAAAACTAATTTAAAACTACAAATGGCCGTGTTTCCGTCCAGAATAAATTTGGGTAGGAAGGAGCATAAGAGAATGAATAAGAGTAGTTTGAGTAAATGAGTATAAATCATCAAAATGAGTATAAATCATCAAGATGAGTATAAATCTAGTCACATGTTGGGGAAATGACCGTGCTATGATTAGTGGAGTTGTGTACCCACTCCATTGCTAATAAATGATGCTGTTGGTGAAGAATTCCAACTTTAACTCTACCTACCACATTTTTCCCCTGTAACAGGGACGCACCTTTACCAAAATATTTTGTATCTTCTACTTCAGAGCTACACTGGGAGGAGATGCTTCAGCTTCCTGTTGAGTTTGCCCTTACCTCGGTGAGTGAGTGTGGAGCGGAAAGAGCAATGCTGGTGCAGCAATTGGCTCAGCAAAGAACTTTGGTCAAAGAGGGAAAAATTCTAATAATTTTTCTTATTAAGGAAATACAGTGTGTGTAAATAGCTGTTCTATTGTCCATACAATTCAAACTCTGTTCGCTTTCTTTGAAATATAAAAAGGAAGTTAATCACTCAATAGAGTGCTGCCTTAACTGTACTGTTACATAAACTCTTTGTGCAGTGGGACATCATCTAGTAGGCTTTGCACAGATGATCAGTTAGGCAATCCTGACATTATAGGCAACCTTTCTGCATTTTGAGAATAATACTTCTGTATCAGTGTCTGTCTGATATAGATGAGACAAATTTAAGGAAACATTAAAGGGAAAAAATAAGGTGAATTCTTACTGACATTTGCAGACAAGATAATTAAAACATATAACAATATGGTCATTAGCTCACAGCAATGAAAAGACAGACCTTGCAACAGGGGTGGTTATTTGGAAACAAGCCTCAGAGCTGATTAGAAACAGATTTAAAAGTCTCTTACTGTTAAAGTGGAACAGAGAAAACACAATTCAAAGCAATAACACATCCTTCAATGAGTTCAGGAAACTCAGCAATTGGCATACCCAAGAAAATATTATACTAGACAGCTCCTCCCTATTTACAGAAAATTGGCAATTCAAAAAACATAAAAATTAATAGAAATGGGGAAGAATAATGCTTCAATAATTCCACATTTGTACTGTACTTAAAAAGGATAAATCCATTTTAAATTAACAATGATGGCTTTAGCTTGGCATGAATTACATTCTTGAAGAGTCAAAAGAGTAATAAAAAAACAGACTTACTTATTCCATGCTTGTCTAAGGTTTTTAGGGCTGTACTGTGTAAACCGTTCTGCAATAAAAAAAAGAGAAGGACATTCAATTATTTATGCTAAAACCAGGAATTTATTCAAAGAAGCACATCTATTCCCAGTTTTCACCACTTCTTATAGCTACTCCAGCTCAAGTTGGGAAACAGAAAGAAAAAAGGCGTAAGAATAATTGCTATGTGAACACAAAGAAAACAAAAAAGAGGTAAAAACAAACATTATGACATGAACTTAATTTGCTTTGGTATCACCAGAAAAGGAAAATAAGTTTCACAACTACTTTTGAAGTATTTATGCCTTCTAGAAAAAAAAAAAGACAGGATACCTGAAATCTAAAATTAATTCTATTTTTCTTCATCAAAAATACAATTCTTTGAGACCTCTCCATTGCAATTCCATGTTTCTCAGAAAATGTAAGAGAAGCTGTGGGCCTGTTCGACGTGCAGTGAAGACCAAAACAGTGTTGTCGCACAGAATTGATTTTCTAAGGAATGCATACCAAAAATCAACAGAGGTAACAAGAATAATGACAGCTTATTTACTCAAACCTTAAGTTCTTAAGTTCAGTTATAAGTACCCAACTACCACTTGGTAGTACTCCCACTACCAAGATGATGCTTGCTCAGGAGTAGGAGGAGAAGATGCCACGAAAACTGCTGCAGAAGTGAAGAGCCAGCAGCACTCTGCTAGATCTTGGAAGAGCAGCATGTCAGGAAGAAAAAAATGCAGTGTGCCTGGGGAAGGGGTAGGGGGACAAATGCATTTTCCATGAAGCCCCATCACACTGAAACACCACTGTGCAGACTGGTACTTGCCCTGGACAACTGCCTCAGTGTGCCAGCACTGATTGTCTGAAGAAATCCTGTATTTAGAAAACATTCCAGAAAACCCGCAAAACATTTTCATTTTTGTTTCCCTTTCACCCCAGAAAATGGCATTTAATAGGAACACTACACATTTACAACACTATTTTACATATATGAATCTTACTGTGCAAAGAACAACAAATGAAACTTTTTTTTGGGGGGGGATGTGTGCCAAATGCCTGTATTTGTATACAGGCCTTATAGCAATATAGTAAATTCTGAACATGCAACAATACACACTGCAAACTGTGCAAATCCAAACAGACAAGCATCAGTGTGGATGATTTTGTTTGTCGTACTGATTTTTTTTCTCTTTAAATGAAAAAAAAAAGTATACAAAAATGTCAGTTCTCACCGATTTCACTATTAAAAACTTTTGGTAACTGGTACCGCTGTAAACTCTTGTTGAAGGGCCACTTCACATTTGAAAGTTTTGCTGCTTTAATCATACTGACACAATCAAAGCAATGAAATCATTCCCTGCTAGATATATATAACTATGACAAGCTTACTGGAAACTGGAAGCTACATCCCTATAACTAATTTTAACACTGATATAAATTATAAATAACACTTTTGTAACATTATATTTACCCAAATAATTTTCTCAGCAAAATCCCCAAACTACACTAACTACATAGTCACACCAGTAAAGCCTTTTAAATATAGATTGAACATAAGAAACAGAAGTTAAGGCTTTTATTTTTAGCTTTTATATTACCAATAAAGTTTGTGCACTCAGAAACTGTTTGACTATTGTAGATGATTATGAAAATTGTATCTAGGCAACTTTCCCATGTTATCATTTCCATTAGAACATGAATTAAGAACTAAGAATTAAATTAAGAAAAGAGACAACTCTCAGCCTCCTAACAGATCTGCTATCATTACACAGTACTCAGCAAACTAAAATTATTAGGTTAAATTTATATGAATCATTTACCTTTCGAATTCTGTGTTATACATCTTCTTTTTTGGACTGAAATCTTGGAAAACGGAAATTATAGGTCATGTGGTAGAGCTGACTAACAGAAAACACATTGCTCCATATACTTCCATACTACATGGCTATATGTATTAGAATTTATATAGCTACATCTATTAATACATTACTGATGTTGTCCTGAATTTTGATAAAATCAGTTATCCTAACCACTTGGAAGCTCATGGAACTTTAAAAAGGATAATAAATTTAAACAATTGAGGATTTTTTTTTCTGTTAAGTCTTTATACTACAAGTGCACAAAATAATAATAAAAGGGGAAAGCAAATAAGTTTTTGTGCACATTCCTACAGAGACTAGCAAGTGAAGAGATTCCATTACAACTTTCTGCATGCACTTAACAACAAAATAAATAATCACACCTGAGGCATCCAGATAAAAACTATAGGGAATGCCAACTCTTTTCTATCCCTATTACATATTGCCTGTAATAGCTCTACTATAAATGTGTCAATGCACAAAGACAGACCTTTAAATCAAGTGGGCAAAGCAGCTAGGATCATTACTACACACAATCGTGCCTCAGTATGGGCAATACAGCACAGGAGTAGGTGCCCAGGAATAGATTTTAATATATAACAGTACAAGTATAATAATTCCCTACTGAATTACATGTTCTTTAATAAGTAGCTCGAGTATCATATTGGCATTGGAAATATGACCCAAACATACAAGAGAGAGGAACATTATAATTCAGACTGGATTTGCTCAGCTACTGCTCTCACTAGGAAAAACCTGAGCTCTGGTAAGGTCAATATTGAGCTTGCAAGACCTGAGCTCAACCTTGAATTTAAGTTTATAATATTAATTATAGATGTCTATACAAGCAGCTAGAAATACTGACCCATAAAAAAATGGAAGAAAATAAAGACTTTCCATATACTATAAGAAAATAGTCTGTCTCTAAGATTGTTCATTCTCCTATGATAAAGGACTGTGAAATAATGTGCAGCTAGACAGCGCTGCTAACGACGAGGCTGATACACACCTGGGAGCTCAGCTAATGAAGTGCAGACTTGCATGTTAGTCTATTTTGGGGCAGAGAAGTACTCGGTGGAAAGAGAACTGAACTAACTGAACACATTGCCGAAGAGCTAACCCGGATCTGTGGAAGTATCTTGATTTCACTTGTCATTCTGCAGTATGTTTGGTCAGATACTGAGCTGGTTCAACCTGGCAGAGCTGCACTGATTGCAGCAGAGCTACATCAACCTACAGCAGCTGAGAAATATCATATGCAACATATCTTCTTGATTGAACTTCAGTCAGTTTAATCTATTTCCACCATGGGAAGAAACACTGATTCGCTTTCTTGGCCAAATCAGGCTTCAAGTTCTAATGTCCAGAGACCTAGTTTTGTTCTGAAAGACACTGGAAAACTATTTTTCTGATAGATGGGTTCTTAAAACAGAGGGGTACACTGCAACCACTATATAAATGCCATTAAAAGGGATGTGCACAAGCCAAATAAACAATTTCCTCAAAGAAATCTTCTCTTTTAATCTATTGCTCTGCTCCAAACCTCCTTAGAAATGATATTCGTCATATTTCTCTGGTAAGGGAGAGAGAACTGCAGAAAGCACAGGAAGGGCAAAACCTTTTGTCTACAGAGAGACAAATTCTAGCCCTGGATCCTTAATTTCAAGTTCCATTCATATGCTGCCTGACTTCAGACTTTGCTTCTCCAACCATTTTTAACAGCTCTTTCTTCTCTATTCCAAAAAGATTAGAAGCTCCTTTCTTTAAACTCTGCATAAGCAAAGGAACCACTTCTCAATAAAATGCAGGTCTGACTTTTCTATGCAAAATTTTGGTCACACCTGCAGCCAGAAGCTTGCTAAAACTGACAGACTGAAAAGTAGGCAGGATATTGCGGCAGTCAAGCGCAGCCTCGTGTGCGTCCTGGCTCTCAGTACTCTCCCAAATTAATTCTTATGTGGAGAGTAGAAAAGAGAAATAAAAGAAAGAAAAAAAAAGCCAATCTTGATTTCAGAATTTCCAAAACAATAGAGAAGCTACAACAAATTCTCCATCATGATCCTGCTCTGTACCCCCTCCTGCTTTAAGGCCTGCATCATAAAAGCAGACTATAACACACTTATGAACACTGATATAATACTCACAACACAGGCAAATAAAGTGGTAACTTAACCTCCCAACTTTATCTGAGAACCTCTTGCTTGTATCCAACAACACCTGGAATTCAGCCTCCCAGTCATAAATCCAAGCTTTCTTCCAAGCCACTTTTCCTAGTGAACAATTCCCATTCATCTGTATGGATGCCCTCTGTTCTTTATTACTACATGAATGGAATATTATCAAATATAAAGCAATACGTATGTGACAGTGAACAACAGCAAAATAATGGCAGTTGCTCTGTATAGGTGACCTCTGCTCTCCATCATTAAGCATTCCCCTGATTTTGGTGCCATATTCAAAATTTGCCAAAAAAAACAGTGAGGTTAAAAATCATGTTAAAACAGTTATGTAGCGTAGGTGTAAGAACCTTATCCCTGTGAGAAACCATCAAAAAGCCATAAATTAAAATACATTTTGA